AAAAAACACTACAAGGACAGACAAAATTAATGTAAACTTTGAAACAATACAAAACTTGCAATTAGAAATCCAGAAGATTAATACTAAGGTTTCAGAAATGAACAATACATTGAAAGGGCAAAGGAGTAGATTTGAATCAATGGGAGCCACAATTAATGAACGTAAAGATAAATCTCTTAGTACTAGAAAGTTAGAATAACAATCAGAAAAAAGATTGAAAAAAATCCAAAGAAAGCCTAAGATTTATGTGGGACACTATCAAAAGAATAACTTACAGGTTGTTGGAACTTGAGAACAGGAAGGTAGGACAAAAAAGCACAGAGAAAATTGAAGAAAACTTTCCTAACCATGAAAGATGAGAAGATAACCATTCAAGAAGCTGAATGAACCCCAAGCAGGACAGATTCCCAAAGAAAATCACCAAGACATATCATAATCAAACTTTCCCAAACCAAAGACAAGACAAGAGTCATGAGAGCAGCTCGGAAAAAACAAAAAATTACTACAAAGGAGAACCAATAAAACTAAACTCTGATCTCTCAGCAGAAAGTCTCCAGACAAGAAGGCAATGAATGGCATACAAAATTCTAAAAGAAAAAAAAAAAAAAAAAATGCCAACCAAGAATCATGTATCCAGCAAAAGTGTCCCTCAAATATGACAGCAAAATTAGGGCCTTTCCAGATAAACAGAAATGAATAGAATTTGTAGTAACCAAACTAATTTGACAAGAAATCTGAACGATGTCCTTTGGACTGAGAACCAACAATAGCAGACAACAACCTGAGATTAACATATATGACAATACTACCCAGAAATCAATCCAGTTATGTTGTTGTCATCAAGTGCTTTTCAGTCATTTCTGCAAATGCTTTATAGGATTTCTGAGGCTGTAAATCTTTGTGAGAGCAGAAACCTTCATCTTTTCACCCCAATCCAGATACATTGTTGTTGTTAAATGCCTTCAAGTCAGTTCTGACTCATAGCGACCCCATATAGAGTTTCTGAGGAGCTGGTGGCTTTGAACTGCCAACCCTGTAGTTTGTAGTTCAGTGCTGGTCTTACAACACCACAGCAGGAATCCACATGTAGAAGTCTCTATCAGTTGGAACTAACCCGATAGCACCTCACAAGGTTTGTTCCAACTCATAATGACCCAATGCACAACAGAATGAAACACTGCCTTACAAGACTTAAAATAAGGAACCAGAGACACCAATTTATAGCGAAGGAAACTACAAAACAAAAAGAGGGAATAGTATAGAAACAGAACTTCCAAATGGCAATGAAGTCAAACAGATTTTGAGATAAAACAGACAGTTTTAAAAAGGGAAATAATTAATAAATTATTATTTCTAAAAGAAAATGAACACATCTTCACATAAAAAAAAAAAAAAAGAGGAAAATTAGAAGTGTATAGACCTAGATGGAGGATATGGTGAGAAACAATTGTTTGACATTTTGACAGTTTTATTCAACAAAGATTTATATGATTTTATAGCAATACTTTGTGACATATTTATGTGTGTGTATATGTATCTCCACTAAAGATACTGTCATTAAGTCAATTCCAACTCATAGCAACTCTATATGATGTTTCTAAGGCTGTAACTCTTCATGAAAGCAGAAGGCCTCATCTCTCTTCTGTAGAGTGGTTGGTGGGTTTGAACTGCAGACCTTGCAATTAGCAGTCTGGTGCTTATCTAACAGCACTACCAGAGCTCCTAACCCACTGTTTATCTATGAGTCTTTCCATTAATTGGTATGTAGCCTAGGAGTTTGGAGTAGGGTAAGCAGTTTCTTGAGTACGTACATTGTGCTAGGCATATTTTACTAGAACAAAATAATGACTTTTAGTAACAAACAACATTTCTTGAGTATTAAATTTTGTGATAAATGTTACAGAGACAAAATAACAATAAGGAGAGTTCTGGTCCTCAAGGCATTTACAATCTAAAAGGGAAGATTAATAATATTGTGCTGGAAGATGAGTCCCTTTAGTTGCAAAGCTTAGGTTGGAAAGACTCAGTGGGCACAACAATGAACCTGAGCACACGAACAATGGTGAAGATGATGGTTTTGGTCGGTTTTACATGGGTCACTATGAGTAGAGGTTGCCACGAGTCAGCATTAACTTGATGACAACTATCATTTTTTCAGAGGATCAGATATCATTTATTGTTTTGTATCTCACTTCTGTTACTTGTATGGGTATCATCTTTTAAATTTCACTGTGTTGAAAATGTACATAAAACACATGGACAATTCAGTAACACTGACTACACTATTCAAAACCTAAATAAACAAAAGGGAAGACTGAGAAGTACATAAAGCACTTAGAGAGTTCACAGAAAGAAGAGTTCACTTATCCCAAAGGATAAAAGAAACACCCTGGAAGAAAATTATTTAGCCTATTCAATCTACCAAAAATTCTCCTAAATTTTCATCGAATTATTTTTTCAGTTTGATGGTTTTAAAACTGCAACATTACTTCTTAAATTCACTTCTAATGATACAGTATCGTAAAAACGGTAGCACAGGTTTATGTCATTCATACAAGGAAACTTGCAGCATGCCTACTTACTTCTTGGTTAAATCATAAGAAGAAAGGTTAAGTGTAAATTTTGGGGTCCCTGGGTGGCACAAACAGTTAAACACTTAATGAGTAGTGGAAAGGTTAGCTGTTGGAACCCACCCAGAGGCCTTGGGAGACAGATCTGGTGATCTACTTCTGGAAGGTCACGGCCTACAGAGCAGTTCTACTCTGTACACAAAGGGTTGCAATGAGTAGGAATCGACTCTGGCAACTATGACAAACAGAAGTTATTTAGATATATTTGGTTTCTTGAAGGTGAGCGCTATGTAGAAAAACTTACAGCAATCATGTTGTTGTTTGTTGTAAAGTGCCATCAAGTCAATTTTTGACTCATAGGAACCTTGTACAGGTTTTACAAGGAGCAGCTGGTGGGTTTGAACTGCTGACCTTGTAGTTCACAGTCCTGTGTTTATCTTACAGTGCCACACCAGAAGTCCACAGCAATTATAACCTTACATATTTCTTATTCTCTTCCCAGCTCCTTGATTGTTCTTTTTAGGATCAGGATATAGGCACTCCAATTTCATTCTTCTTTTTCAAGATTGTTTTGGCTGCTCTGGGTTCTTTACCTTCCAATATAAATTTTATGGTAAACGTGTATTTGTCAATTTTAATTAAAAGTTTGCTGGAATTTTGGTAGGTTTTATATTCAATCTATAGATCAATAGGGGGGAAACTGCTACCTAAGTAATACTGGATCTTCCAATCCATCCATTAACATAGAATGCCTTTACCTTTATTTGGATTTACTTTCATTTCTCTCAGAAATATTTTTAGTTCTTAGTGTACACGTTTTTGTAAAAGTGACTCCTAAATAATTTGTTCTTTTTGATGCTACTATGATTAGAAATTTCTTAATTTCATTTTCTGACTGTTCATTGCTAGTATATAGGTATACAAATGATTTTTTATATTGACCTTATATCCTACAACCTTGCTGAGCTTGTTTATTAATAGATTCTAATAGTATTTTTGTGAATTTGTTAGAATTTTCTACATAGTCATTTATGAAAAAAAAATTTACTTCTTTCTTTACAATATGAATATTTCTCTTTCTTGCCTGATTGCACTGTCCAGAGCCTTCAGAATAATACTGAGGTGAAAGGAGACATTCTTGTATTCTTGATCTTAGGGAAAAAACATTTAGTCTTTTACCATTAAGTCTGATGCTGTTGTTGTTGTTGTTGTTAAGTGCTGTTGAGTCAGTTCCGACTCATAGCGACCCTGTATAGGGTTTCCAAAGAACAGCTGGTGAGCTTGAACCACCAACCTTCTGGTTCAAAACAACTTTGCAGTCCAGTGCATTACCCTACAGCACCATACCAGGACTTCATGTCTGATGTTAGCTTGTTGTTGTTGTTGTTAAGTGCCGTCGAGTCGGTTCCGACCCATAGCGACCCTGTACAGGGTTTCCGAGGGTGTAAATCTTTACGGGAGTAGAAAGCCTCATCTTTCTCCCGCGGAGCGGCTGGTAGTTTCGAACCGCTGACCTTAAGGCTCGCAGCCCGATTCGTAACCACTACGCGCTAGATACCCTTTATCAGGATAAGGAAATTCCCTTCTATTCATAGTCTGTTGAGAAGTGTTTTGTTAGTTTTTTTGGTTGTGTGTATTTGTCTTCTGTTTATCATGAAGACATACAGGATTTTGCCAAATGGTTTTTCTGTAACTATTGTCTTCTGTTTTATCATTATGTTATATTATATTATTTTCAGATGTAAACCAACCTTGAATTAGGGTGGTAAAACCCACTTGGTCATAGTAAACCCTTTTTATATGTTGTTGGATTATGTTTGCTAATATTTTCTTAAGGATTTTGGTATCTATTTTCATGAGAGGCAGTGTTCTATAGTTTATATTCTTTTAATGTCTTTGCTTGGTGTTGGTAATACTGGTCTCACAGAATGTGTTGGCAAGTGCTCCCTCTACCTCTACTTTTTGAAAGTTTGTCAAGAATTGTTACTATCTCTTTTTAAATGTTTGTAAAATGATTGCTCTTTTTAATATTCTTATCTTTGTGTCTCCAATCCCATCTAGCACAGTGTTTTGTTGTTGTTAAGTGCTGTTGGGTTGGCTCTGACTCATGGCGACCCTGTATAGGGTTTCCGAGGCTTTACATCTTTGCAGAAGCAAAAAGTCTCATCTTTCTCTCGAGGAGCAGCTGGTGGGTTAGAACCGCTGAACTTGTGGTTAGCAGTCCAGTGTTTATCCTAAAGATCATACTGTTTTACTCAATAAATATTTAGAAATCAACTAAATTATTCAATAGCATCCTAGAAATGGCTAAAATAATATTTAAAGACTGTCCTGAATTTCAACCAAAGACACTTTAAAAATGAAGAGCACTATAAAAAACAAACTCACAACTACTTTTAAGTTTATGAAAATGGAAGTATATTTACTTACTGGGTAACAGTTCTCTATCAGCAGTCTCTGTGCAGCTGGGGTAGGGGTAAAATAGATGGCCTTTCTCTAAAGGGTAGGGAATCATTCTAAAAGCTGAGGGAAAAAATACAAATGTTGACACTCAGTTCTGTCTCATTTATTACCAGTCTATATAACAGATCAAAGCTATTTTCGAGACATTTTTATAAAATTTTCACATAGTACTTTTAAAAAGACAGGTACTTAGATTCAAGAAACAAAGTGAACAAAAGAACAAATAAGAGGAAGAATAAGATTTATTTAGAGAATAATGAATGTTCTAGTTTGACTGGAAGAAAACTAAAGGAGTGATGGATGATCCGACTGGCTGGGTCCTTCTTTGCTTCAGTCTCCTCATTATAAACACAGTAGATAATTCCCTGGGTATGAATTCCACTTCTTACAGTTAACTTCATAAAACTACAATGTGTATAACTGGCAACCTGAAATTATTGGCAACCTGAAAGAGTTCTCAATGTCTACTAACAATGTATGTGAAATTTACCAAGATTTTCAATGAGCTGAGTTTAATCTAGTTTAGGAATCAGAAAAATATGGATATTTGGCCAAATCTAGCCTATTTGTTTTTGTAAATAAAGCTTTATTGGAACAAAGCTACATAAATTCATTTATATAGTATATAAAACTGCTTTTATATTACAAAGCATGTTGAATAGTTGTGATAGAGATTTAATGGACCACAAAGCCTAAAGTATTTATGATTTGGCTATTTTCAGGAAAAGTTTGCTAAGCCTTGGTCTAGATTAACAACAACTCTTGCGGATTTCTGAAAGAAGAAATATCACTATGAGTGGAAAACCAACTCTTTGGCAAAGGGTATAGGCTTTTTTGGTTATTGATCTATTCATCTAGCTAAGTCCTCTTCAATACTGTATTAAGATTTTTGTTTCTCCTTAAGTATTTGGTTCTACAAACTTTTGTAAAAATATAGGTTTTATTTTGTTACACAAAATAGTGATTCCTCAAGAGTCAACAGAGCAAATCAGGGATAACTCTAAGAAACTACCCACTAAGATGATTATTCGTAAAATACAGTACAAATCACATACTTAATGAAAACTTCCTAAGTGCCAAGTGGAAGAGTAAACATTTTAAACATACACAGGAAAAATTAGATTGAATATTTGATTTTGAGGAGTTGTAGGACAAAGAACTTGAATTAGCCTTTGTCCCAGGTACTATAAAAATAACCTTGGGATTTGCCAGTGATCAAGGTTCTTTTTTTTACATCTAAGACAGTGGTCTTAGGCAAACAACTGGGGGCTATGTAGACCCCACCTGTCAGTTAACCTTTGAAGGGGGGGGGGCATGTTGCAATGAATCATGCATACTCATGGTTTCAATCAACCATGGCCAGGAATTGAGGCCCAATCATGCATACACATTATTATAAAAGGCCCTGAACCCCAAAGCAGTTGGGTTTCTGTAAAGGTAGAGAATGCCCATGCACAGGAGAAGGTATGGCATGTTCCTGGGGACAACTGGAGGCCTTCTGGGCTGGGCCTGATGTGATTCTTTGGTTAAAATAAATGGATCAATGTAAGTATAAGTAGGCTCTGTGAATTCTATGAGTCATTCTAGGGAATTATCAAACCCACTGGGGGCAGTGAGAGCCAGTAAGGGGGATGAAGGACAGAGTCCTAACTTGTGAAGGCCTAGTTCTGTCTGAGTAGAGGTCAGAGAAAGGCTGTGTGGGTAGTCCATCTCAAAGGAAAAAGGCCTTTTAACTTGTAAGTTCTGAACTAACTCCAGGGTGGTTAAGGTCAGAGAGAAAAAGTGTCATGTGGGTGGCTAGTATCAAGATAATGGAGAAGTGTTAGAGTAGAGATATGCATTCATGTCACATTTGAAGAATCAACCTTATGACAATTTTTTTAAACGAAGGAGCTTATACCCTCCTAGAAATAAAGCACATTGCCATTCAAGTCCTCAAGTATGTAATCCAAGCTTTATTAATCTTTATATGATCAATGTCAAGCACAGTGTCTGACCCATACTAAATGGTTAATGAAGAGGTTCCCAAATTTTCTTGCTTCAAGGATGCATGGTATCTTTAATGTCTCAGTAAGTTTTAAATGGTGCTCCTAAGCTGAAAGAAATAGCTACAGCTTCTGTTTACTAAGTTGTTGTTAAGTGCCATTGAGTTGGTTCCGACCCATAGTGGCCCTGTATAGGGTTCCCAAGGAGCAGTTGGTGAACTTGAACTGCTGACCTTGAGGTTCAAACTGACTTTGCAGTCCAACGCATTAACCTGCAGTGTCACACTAGGACTCCAATTATTAAGTAGAAAGTCTAACTAACGTAAAAAGTTTATGTCCAACAACTTGTTGTTGTTGTTGTTGTTGGTAAGTACCGTGGAGTTGGTTCTGACTCATAGTGTGACCCTGCACAGGGTTTCCGATGCTGTAAATCTTTACAGGAGCAGAACGCCTCATCTTTCTCCTGCGGAACCACTGGTAGTTTCGAACTGCTGACCTTGAGGTTGGCAGCTGGACTCGTAATCACTATGCTACCAGAGCTCCTAGGAGTCATTAAAAAAGAAAAAACAACACTAAAGTTGAAAGAAAAAAATAATTTTCTTATTTCATTCTTAAATGATTATCATTGTCTACTAATGGGATGTAGGAACCTGTTGGGCACTACCCAGCTCTCTGACCTTGAAATCACTGTTATCCTCACTCTACACTGATTTTTGACTAGTGTTTCTTTTTATCATGTTGTTGTTTTTAAGTGCCATAGAGTCGATTCCGACCCATAGCAGCCCTGTATAGGGTTTCCAAGGAGCGACTAGTGAGCTTGAACCACTGACCTTACAGTTCAAACGGCTTTGCAGTCTGGTGCATTAGCCCACAGCGCCACACCAAGCCATTGTTGTTGTTGTTGTTAAGTGCCATTGAATCGGTTCCGACCCATAGCGACCCTGAACAGGATTTCCGGGGCTGTAAATATTTATGGGAGCAGAAGGCCTCATCTTTCTCCCGCGGAGCAGCTGGTAGTTTCAAACTGTTGACCTTGTGGTTCGCAGCCTGATTCGTAATCACTACGACTACCAGAGCTCCACACCAGGCCATAGCAACTAACAAAACCCCCAGCTTTGTAAAGCTATGATAACAGTGAATAAAACAGAGAACAGCCTAATGTTAAAACTGTGATCTATGCCACGCTAAAAGTTTGAGTGGTATCTGACAGCTATCCGAAATTGCTATGTTTCCACTGAAAATTTAAAATATTCCATAATTAAAAATATCTTAAGAATTTTCTGTGAGGCTTTTATAACAAAAACTTTGCACTTCATTACAAAGTTTAGGGACCAATAGGGTTAATCAATTTTAATGAATGAGCATTAAATTCATTTTTGAATTTTTACTAATAGCTGTGGTATACTTTTAAAGAGAATTGTAATATATTTTGATTTAGCATCTTTACCTATTTGGTAATTATAAGTTACAAATAAATGATCTAGTAGGTAGTTCAAAATAGTTCAATTTTTAAAGTATTAGAAAAATAGCTCAACCACATAAAAAAAGTTATAAACTAAAGGACTGATAAATTTGCATGTTTTCCTTACAAATACATAACTCAAATGAACATATTTTATTATAGTACATTAAGCAATGTATACTATACCATATACAATATTACATATGGTATTGGCAGACTACCATAAGTTTTTCATTCTGCTTTTCTTTAATGTGGTATCAATATAAATACATTAAACATTTCCACCAATAAAACAAATATACCAGCACTGAATTCACTTTGAAACCAATCGGAACAAAAAAATCCTTATGGAAACTCAGACAATCTCATTAAAGACCACTGCTTGTGAATGCAATGATTCCTGTTACATTTGGAAAAGAATACTTACTGCCTTCCCAGGTACACTGTAACAGATTAAGAGCACCTTCTATTCGCTTCCAGTGCTGAAGATGGTAGAAAGCATAGGCAATTGCTTCACTATCGCCCCGTTTCAGAATGTGTTCTGGAGGTAAAATCAGACTTTTCATCTCTAGCAAATACTGGAAAAATAACACACACAACAACAAAAATAAGAAAAAGAAAATTATGTTAATAATTCAGACACTCACAAAAATGTAGACTCAAGATGCTATAGAGTAAAACTGGATTTAAAAACTTATACTACAATACATGAAATGGCATAAAAAGCCTACTGATAACATATATGTTATATAGACAAATTCCAAAGGCCAGAACATTCTTATACGTGAAAATAAATGGTTTGTTAAATAGATCAAAGAAACTGAGGCTGAGGACATAAGAAGACCTACTCATATTTATGTAAGGAGCTCTCGTAGCATAGTGGTTACGAATCAGGCTGCGAACCGCAAGGTCAGCAGTTGAAAACTACCAGCTGTTCTGCGGGAGACAGATGAGGCTTTCTGCTCCCGTAAAGATTTACAGCCTCGGAAACCCTGTACAGGGTCGCTATGAGTCTGAACCGACTCCACAGCACGTAACAACAACTCATATTTATTTATTTTTTCCAAAAGAGAACTAAATATAAAATTATAAAATTCAATTTTGGAACACCTGGTGGCAATAATTTTTCCCTCTTATTCTCATTCTATAGGGGAAGAAACTTATATTGTAAAAAATTAATAGTTACTGAGTTGTTGTTGTTACGTGCTGTGGAGTCGGTTCAGACTCATAGCGACCCTGTACAGGGTTTCCGAGGCTGTAAATCTTTACGGGAGCAGAAAGCTTCATCTTTCTCCCGTGGAACAGCTGGCAGTTTCGAACTGCTGACCTTGCGGTTTGCAGCCCGATTCGTAACCACTATGCTACTTTGTTAAGTGCCAGAGCTGTCCTATAGGGCTTCCATGGCTGTAATTTTGGGGTGTGAACATGGGGTAGGGAGCTATTTTGTTGTTGTTGTTAAGTGCCATCGAGTCGGGTCCGACCCATAGCGACCCTGTACAGGGTTTCCGAGGGTGTTGTAAATCTTTACGGGAGTAGAAAGCCTCATCTTTCTCCCGCGGAGCGACTGGTAGTTTCGAACCGCTGACCTTAAGGTTCGCAGCCCGATTCGTAACCACTATGCTATATAGGGGTAGACATAAAGAGTTAGGATTAGGACTATGACTAGGTCTAATTAGGGTTATGGTTAGGACTAGGGTTAGTGTTAGGGGTAGGGATTGGGCTATAGCTAAGAGTAAAGCTTGGTCTAGTTTGAGAGTTACAGTTAGGTTTATTTTTTATTTTTTTCTTGAAGTTGATTAGATTTTTCCTTTATTTGGAAATTCTGAAATAACATTATTCCTTCTATTTACTTAGTTTTGTTGTTGCAAACTGGTATCTCTTGTTTCCTATTTTCCATCTTGTAGGTTTGTTTTAGTTTGAATACTTTTATATCTGGGTTGAGTTCTAGGTGATACTGTCATGTATGTTGGTCTCAGGTTGTTGTCTGTTGTTGTTGGTTGTCTGTCCAAAGAGCTTTTAGTAATACTTTGTAAGGTTAATCTAGTTTTTGCAAATTCTTTTAATTTCTGTTCATCTGGAAACTTCCTAATTTTGCTGTCATATTTGATGAACAATTTTGTTGAATATATGATTATTGGTTGCCAATTTTTTTCTTTCAAAGTTTTATATATGTCATCCCATTGTCTTCCTGCCAGCATAGTTTCTGTTGAGAAATCAGAGCTTAGTTCTATTAGTTCTCTTTATAGATAACTTTAGTTTTTCCTGAACCGATTTCAGGATTTTCCCCTTGTCTTTGGTTTTAAACTTTATTATAATATATCTTGGTGATTTTCTTTTTGCATTCTATTCCGTTTAGAGTTCATTTAACTTTTTTTTTTTTTTAAAGGTTTTTATTGTGGATTGAGTGAAAGTTTACAGAGCACATCATCAGTTTCACATTCAGCAATTCATATAGCTTGTTTCATTACATTGATTATAATCCCCTCCATATACCATCAGTTAAAAGTATTTCTCTTTATCCACTTTAGCTTTTTTTAAAAAAACACACAAACAAAAAAACCCACTTAGGCATATATAATAAATTACATCTCCAAAGGGCACATTCTGCAAGTCTGCTCCT